CAGCAGTGGAGGACTATTATTCTGCTGCGTGATATTGCGGAAGAACTGATGACGGCACGGTTTGATCTTCGGCTGACCAATCAGCATAAAGGGGCGTTTAATTCCCGCCCACATGTAAAAATCTAATATTCAAGCTGTTTATTCATTTTTCCACCCATGGAATTTTTTTGGGAAAAAAAAAAAAAAACGAAAAAGCAGCCGTTTTCTAATTTTTCTACTTTCAATATTAAATCAAAAAACGAATGATCGAATGATACACAGATTATGAACGCCACCACAAAGTCGTTATTACGAGTGGGAAACTCGACATTTTCTTTAAGCCCCGAGTTTCCGAGTTGGGGAGAAACATGGCGTAATCGATGGATGCAACGTCTGTCAATTTTTGTTGAAATTGATAGTTTAGTTATACTATAAACTTAAATTGGTCATGTTCTTGTTATATGCAGCAAGTTAATGAAATATAAGAAAAAAAATCCATCATTTCTGCACATATAGGTGAGAAATCGTTTGATTTGCCATGTTGCATTCGTTTTTTTTATTTTTTATTTTAAATCTCTGTATTTTCATAGCGTTTGTTGATGCTAAAAAAAACAGTTAAACTGGGATCCTGGGGCCCGTTCTTCGTATGTCGCTAACTCAGTTAGCTGGATTTGATTGTTGACGATTTGGCATGATCTTGGATTGGTTGGTTCTTCAAAGCTCATCCCGGACTTGCTGTCATAGCAACAGGGGTATATTCCAGAAAGGAGGTTCAACAAACTCTGAGTTAAAACTTGAACTCTGAGTTGGCTTACCCTGAGATGGGAAACTCTGAGTTTTTCGGTTTCAGAACAGCTGAACGGAGTTAGTTCAATCCACTCTGAGCAGGTTGACTCTGAGTTTAGCGCATGCACCAAGACTATGAAAAGCCATGATGAATGGAGCTCCGAAATTACGATTCACCATGGCAACAGCTCCTGCCAAAAACACTTCCGCTACGGAATACAGTAACTTTAATTCTAAATGAATGTTATCAGAGGTGAAAACTGGCAGAAAGGTAATTTATTTAACTAATATTCATTTTCATGGTATCCCACAGGCAAAAAAAACCTAATTAAATCAGGTAAAGCTTCAAGCGTGAAATGGGTGTAGGCTAACGTTACATGACTTTACAAACATTTGACATTCAATAAATATCATTCAGTGTATCAAATATCATACAGTCAATGTGCAGAAGCTTTTCTCACATAGTCTAATGCATTTTCACATAATTAAATGTTCTCTAATCCAACATTAGACAACATCCAACATTTCTTAATTAAGGTAATGAAACACATTTGACTTCTATTCAGAAGCCAACAGCAAGAAGGCAGAGACTCGTAAAATGGGAGGAGAACCTGCACCAGCATCACTGACAGATGAAGAGGAGATGGCCACATATTAAAATACAACAGGGAAAATAATAATTTGTTGCTTTTGTATTTGTAGAACATAAAGATGACCAAATAAACTGTGAATAATTTGTATTCATTTAACAGCTGTGGTGGTGTTTATAGATCTTCTTTATGCACCAAGAGCTTGTAACACTCCAAAGAGAAAGGAACAAATGAAATCGCATCATATGACCCCTTTAAAATCCAACAGGGAAAAGAATAAGTGTTGCTTTTGTATTTGTAGAACATAAAGATTACCAAATAAATAGTGAATAATTTGTGTTTATTTAACAGCTGTGTTACGGCATATATCTTGCACTACCCTTCCATCTGGCATCCTTCCATTCCATACAGTAATCAGCTTCATTTTCGGAAGGTGCGATGGTGAGAATATGTGTGTAATCAATGCATCCAACCACACTGGAAATCCTGAAGGAAATTCGAATTATTAGGTTACTTAGAGGTCGCAACAAGATGTTATCAAGTGAATACCATTTAAAAATGGTACCATTCAAATAAATATGCATGTGGATATGGCAAAATAAATAAATGAAATTAAATCAAATTAAATTAAATCCTCTCCTGATGTAAATGTAATCCCCCGCAAATTAATGCAGGATCTACAGGATCCCTTATAAAAAGACATGCCATTTTTGTCACATTTACCGTGTCTGCATGATGAAAATGAAAGTGGTCCGGTGAGAAAAATAATCTTGTTTCCATTTTCATTAAGATTATTTTTCTTACCCTGCTGGCAATTCATTTTACTTGTTTACCCCAGGAAACAAGAATAAATATCGTATATATATTTTTTTATTATTTAGAAAATGCATCATGATTTAAGAATTTTTAGATATTTGTACTGGAAATAAGGCAAAAATCTCAGCAATAAAAGCAATTTTTGCAGCGTGAATGAACGAATGAATGAGGTATTTAAACATTGCTTATGCTTTAAAAAGGGGGAGGAGACCGAAAGAAACTCTGCGTTTACAGAAGAAAACCTGCTCCAGACCAGGTTACGTTCACAGAGTAAGTTACTATGGTAACTAACGGAGAGGTTTAGTTTTGTCTTTTACTGGAACCGAAAACCCTGAGTTTCCCTTTTCTGGGGTTAATAAACTGAGTTTCCAACAAAACCCACTTTCTGGAATACACCCCAAGTCCGTAAACTTAACCCTGCTCGGAAGCAGGCTTATTTCATTTAAACAGGATTAGATCACATCTTTTTAAGCAGAATTGATACTTAAAATCTGTCCTCTACCACCGCTACTTTATTACAAGAGTACCCTACTAGTCCAGGGACAATCATTTAAAAATAATAATCATTTAAAAATTAATTTAAAAATAATATAGGCTAATAATATTGTGTAGTCTATAATACTATAGACACAGCCAGTTTTACTCGAAAGATTTATTTGTCATAAAATAATTACTTCATAATTGTATTCGAGTCTTACACACATATGCTATACAGATAATGTAGAGTTGTGCATTAATTTGAGTGGCAGCTATTATGGGAGGGGCTTGATGGAGTGCAGGAGATGCAGATAACTTGATCTTGACCCTTAAGAAACTTTAATTAATGCTGTCATGTATCAAATCTGTTTCAAAGATAAAATTAAATGAATTGCTAATTGCTACATTGAAATAAAAATGTAAAGCCTGAACAAATATTAGAAATCGTGAATATAAATAATTGGGAATCATTTAAAAAAATTAAAATACAATAAAAACAGTGCACATTTCATTTATCTATTATAACATTTATGTAGTTTTGTTCGCTTGGCTGTTTCCTTATAAAAGTCCAGAAATTTGTCAAGTTTTTCATCAGGGCTGCGTTCAGCCCCGACAAAACGGTGCAAAACGTGTTTTAAACGGAAACGGTGGTGCGTTGAACACA